CAGGCAGGAAAACGTGTCCTAGGCAGTGACAGCACACCTGGATTGGAAGTGTGAGGGGCCTCATTGGAGTTGATCATCGGATCTCAGAGAGGGGGCTGCAGCCTTCAGCTCCAATCACCTCTACTTTCCATTCAGATACAGAAGCTGCTGGCAAGGCCTATGAGAAATGGTGTCAGAGTTCAGGGAGACTCGGGGAGAGATCACCGTGCTGTTCAGGAGTTGGACGGCAGAGTGTATCCCTCCCTCATGCCTTCAGCCAACCTCATCTCACAGGAGGTGCAGACTGAATGGGCCAAAGAGACAGAGGGAATAGCGCAGTCAGGAATCCAGGGGTAAGCTAGAGTCTGGGCATCCCCGGTAGTCTCGATCCCAAACAGGATCAGATGACCAGGCTTTTTGAGGACCTTGGAAAATTGAGCGCCAGCCCTGTGGGTGTAGCCCACCCCATGCCCAGGAGCCATGAAGTATTGAAGCATCCGGAAGGTGACCGCTGTCTAACTATCATGGACCTCAGCAGAGGGTATGGGCCACCATCACTAACCCAGGAGGCTCAGGATGAGTCAGCCTTCACCACCCCATATGGCTTGCCTGAATTCACGGGAAAGCTAGTTGGGATTCAGAACGCACCAACCACCTCCCATGGGGTCAGGAATGACCTACAATGTGGAGTGGAACTGGGTGCAGTTGCCCACTTTAGGGGCCTTGCGGTGTTCAGCCCTGTCTGGGAAGAGCAACTCGGGCCCCTGTCACTAGTCAGGAACAAACTGCCCGTGCCTAGTCTGACAGTCGAGAATTGTAACTGTCAGAGGGGCATGTCAGTGGTTCAGCTTTGGGAACCACCAATAGGAAGAGACCCCCCAAGGTCTGGGAATGGGGAGACTGAGGCAGTTATGGCCTGGCCTACTCCCCAGGCCAAAAAGCAGGTTACATCAGTCTTGGGTGCAGCTGGCTACGGTAAGACGCCTGGGTGCAACTATTATGGCTCATCTGGACCTGTGACTGACCTGGCAGACAGGAAACTGGTGGAACTGGTGTCCTGGATGCTAGCAGGTAAAGAGGACTGTTCATCTTGGATGAAGGTACCTGTGGGCACATCTGGGAGGCGAGTTCCAGAATTCGTCTGTCCAGCTCCGGTACACACAGGCGCCACTATCTTCGGGTCAGATGTCGTCCTAGGTCTGAGGAAGAAGATGGGTGAGGAAAATCTCCTTCTCTACCTCGAGAAGAGGCTACATCTCTCAATATGTTAGCATATGACACCCCTGAACAGAACAGTTTTGTGAACAGGTGGGCACCCCAGCAGTTGCCACAATATCCGGATAGTCACAGCCAACTGGGACTCACCCCTGACAACTCACTTGATTGGCACAACAGTGAGGCTGGGGAGAACAGCACCCTTCTCAGAAGGAACCTGGTTCTCCCGCAGTGCAATGGCACCATATCACCCCACGGTGAACCTCTGGGCACAGTGGCTCTGTTCCCTGGTCAGGCAAACCGGCGGCAGAGGTCGGTTGCGTCAGGAGGGAAATTGCAGTCCCCTCCCATGCAACCACCTGAGGGGGGAGGTGTAGCAATCGTACCCACAGAGGTGGACGCGGTTCCACCATTTTGCTCCAACCTCCATCTTGACAAAGGATCATCCATCTTATACAAATATATCTTTCCTCATCCCCTCCCTCTCTGAGATCCACAGTGACATGTGGTCGGTGTGTGTTGGAAGTGTCACAGGCAGGCCAGAGCACAGCAGGGAGCTCCAAGCTATAAAACCTCTCTGAGCTGGGTGTCGGGCTGTCTAAGAAACTGTGCAATCTGGCACCTCGTAAAAGTATAACCCAAGCCTTCCCCTGAGTTCAAAGACATTCCAGAGGAGTAATAAACAGATACCACTTTTAAAATCTATTTTTTCCCTATGTCTCATATCTTGGAATATGAGAGACTTACATAAAAACCAGGCATATCTTCAGATTGGTCACAAGAAGACAAAACGTTTGATATGTCACACTCCTTGGCTGGAATATATAGGAAAGCAGAAAATTACATCTCTTGAACCATTCAAGTATGTATTTCATATTTCATATCTAACCGTTCTGCAGATGCGTCTGCATATTAATCTACCCGCGGGTGGAATGTGACTTGTGCCTAGGAAAAGTTATGAGCCAAAATATAAGCTACGAGAGATTTTGGTTCTAGCTTGGGTCTCCGCCTAGACACCCCCTCCCCAAATGAGGCATTGGTCCTTGGCTTCAGAGACACCCCCTGCTGGGGGACGACAAAATAGGCTGTTAGACGTGAGTGGAAGTTGAAGAATTCTCCCTTTTAACATCAGAACCACTTGGGAGACGGTGCCCTTTTGCTCTGAAACTTGATCTGCTTAACCCAGGACTTTTGGCAAGTACTCTACCTCTCTAAACTTCTTTCTCTTACCTCTTTGCTGTTTTATTGCTCCTGTGTATTTATATATATCTTGGTTACATCTTTTTTCTGTAAATATTTTTATTTCACCCTTTTGATCTTTTAGTAATAAATCTTTCTTTCTGAAAGTGTTGAACTGTTTCTAAAGCTCCTTAATGCAACTTACGAATTCATGCCGCTGAAAAACGCTACTGTGTGTGTTTAACCCTCTGTATAACCTGTCTGCGGTGACAGTGGTATGCAGACGATTATCTAACCATCATAGTGTTATTGCTGATATTGCCGAGTTTCCTCTTTCTCTGTACAAAAAGGAGGTGGTGTGAAGGGTTAATTGCGTAATTAACCTGACCCAGTAACAATCGCGCTCAGGCTGCCGGTACATCGATTTGAGGTCCAGTGAGCTGGAAAATCGTTGTGCAGGGTGCAGCTGGGCGTCGCATTGTTACGCGCGTGACATCGCGGCTTTAGATTGACTAGTCCTTTGGTCACGAGTTTGGTGAGAAGGGCTGGGGTCTGACGCCGTGATTGTCACAGCATCCACAGTTAGTGAACAGTCCATGAGCTTGTTTTTTTTTTATTTTATTAGGGGAAAATAACTTGGATAGGGTAATAGGGATTATGGAATGCCCAACTTGACTGAATCAAAGCATGGAGACAACTTCATTCCTATTTACAGAAACAGATCCTGGACTGTTCTTTTTCTTGAAAGCTGTCAGTCTTTGCGGCTCAGTGGCAACAGTCCCTTACAGGCGAGGGACTCACAGTCCCCCCCCTGAAAATCAGCTTAACTTGTAAACTACATGCAGAGATGTCTCCTCTCCCATGTAGAACTGCTGCCATCTCCACAGCCTGCGGACACTACCATCCCTCCTGGCTGCTCTGAAGATCTCCCAGGACATGGAGAAAGTATTAAGCACAGTGCTGTCTTTTGAAAGCTTGCTACACGTGGCATTCTCTCCCTTTGTGAATCCCAGGGTGTGCTGACGTTCTCACTCTGTCCTGTTTGCTCCTACTGCTCCCAGGCCTTGATCCTGTTCATGCCATACTGTTGAATGGACACTCCTGAGCTAACCCGAGCACAGCCTGGAGGCAAGCCCCCCTAGACCTAGGGACCCCTCCAAGGCCACCAACAGTCTCCTAAGCACTCCATATTCCACCCGACTCCCCTTGCTGGCCTGACTATCCTGTATTTATGGGTTGGCCTCACCACTCTACCAGGGCCTCCAAACCTGGGATTGGTCAGACTCCCATAAACATGAAGATTAGGTCTCCATCTCTTCTGCCCACTGGCTTCTGAAAGGTTCTATGTGCCTCCAGAGCCAGGTTGAAGCAATACAGTTCCAACCTGTTAAGCCATCCAGCTTGATGTGCAGTAACCCGACCTTAATCACAGGCTCACACCGTTACCATGAATCCTACACAATATATTTACCTATACTACGCTATACTAGTAGCATACTATATTGCCTAAAGTATTGAGACGCCTGCCTTTACATGCACATGAACTTTAATGGCATCCCAGTCTTAGTCTGTAGGGTTCAATATTGAGTTGGCCCACCCTTTGCAGCTATAACAACTTCAACTCTTCTAGGCTGTCCACAAGGTTTAGGAGTGTGTCTGTGGGAATGTTTGACCATTCTTCCAGAATGTTTAACCATTCTGATCGCATTTGTGAAGTCAGGCATTGATGTCGGACGAGAAGGCCTGGCTCGCAGTCTCCGCTCTAATTCATCAGAAAGGTGTTCTATCGGGTTGAGGTCAGGATTTTTCTCATTAGTTCATTTTGGTAGTGTTGCATAAAAATCACACACAAAATGTTAAAATAAGCCTTTATTTCACTTGTAAATAACTTTGCTGTACCTGAAATACCATTACTATGTTGTTATAAGTGTGAAAAAATTGCATAATAAAATTGCAATTTTTATCTACAGTAAAACTAGATATCATATTTGTAAATCTGACATTCATCAAAAATTCACTGCAGGCGATGCTTTCTGTGATTGATTCCCCACCTGTAAACATTATATGACAGTTATTTGGTGCTTTAAAAATATGCCCCTACAATGGTCAAACTAGGAAAAATAGTTTATGGGAATATTATCTTAATACGGTTGCAAGAAAAAGTATGTGAACCCCTTGGGATTACGTGGAGTTTTGCATGAATTGGGCATAAAATGTGCTCTGAATGTCATCTAAGTCACAACAATAGAAGAACACAGTCTGCTGAACATAATACTACACAAACATTAGATGTTGCCATGGTTTAATTGCACATAACATGTAAACATTCACAGTGCAGGGAGGAAAAAGTATGTGAGGCCCTAGCTTAATGACTTCTCCCAGAGCTAATTGGAGCCAGGAGTGAGCCAACCTTGACTCCAATCAGTGTGATGATATTGGATGTGTTGCTGACAGCTGTCCTGCCCTTAACCACTTGCCTACCAGGCACCTATACCCCCTTATTTACCAGGCCAATTTTCAGCTTTCAGCGCTGCGCACTTTGATTGACAATTGCGCGGTCATGCAACATTGTACCCATATGAAATTTTGATCATTTTTTTCTCACAAATAGAGCTTTCTTTTGGTGGTATTTAATCGCCACTGGGCGCTTTACCTTTTGCGCTATATTTGGGCTGCACTGGTGGGTGGCACTGGTGGGCAGCACTGGTGGGTGGGCACAGGTGGGTGGCACTGGTGGGCACAGGTGGGTGGGCACAGGTGGGTGGCACTGCTGGGCACAGGTAGGTGGCACTTCTGGGCACAGGTGTGTGACACTGCAGAGTGGCACAGGTGGGTGCACTGCTGGGCACAGGTGGGTGCACTGCTGGCCACAGGTGGGTGATCTGCTGGGCACAGGTTGGCGGAGCTACTGGGCGCACTGCTGGGCACAGGTGGGCGGAACTTGTGGGTGGCATTGCTGGGCACCGATCATCAGGGCACTGATCATCAGTGCCCTGATGATCGGTGCCGATCCCCGCTCTGACAACTGCCGGTTCTCGGCAGTACTTTCCTCACGATCTGACAGCGTGAGGAAAGTGCAGCCGAGAACCGGCACTTGCATTTCCCGGTGATCAGCGTGTCATTGGACACCGCTGATCACATGGTAAAAGGCCGGTATGATTGGCCTTTTACCACATCACGTGATCAGCTGTGTCCGTAGGACACAGCGATCACGGAGATCGCCGGGTGCGCGCCCCCCTGGGGCGCGCAGGAGAGCGCGTTCTGGGAGGACGTCATATGACGTCCACTCAGAACTGGCCGGCCGCAGTTTAGCTGTCATTCGGCTATCTGCGGTCGGCAACTAGTTAAAAAAAACACACCTGTTTTGGGTTTACTGGTTTCAAGAAGCACTGTCTGATGTGAACCATGCCTCGCAGAAAAGAGCTCCCAGAAGACCTACGATCAAGAATTGTTGACTTGCATGAAGCTGGAAAGGGTTACAAAAGTATCTCCAAAAGCCTTGATGTTCATGTGTCCACAGTAAGACAGACTGTCTACAAATGGAGAAAGTTTAGTACTGTTGCTACTCTCCCTAGGCGTGGTCATCCTGTAAAAATGACTGCAAGAGCACAGCGCAGAATGCTGCATGAGGTAAAGAAGAATACCAGAGTGTCAGCTAAAGACCTACAGAAATCTCTGGCACATTCTAACATTTTTGTTGACACATCTACAATAAGGAAAACATTAAACAAGAATGGAGTACATGGGAGGACACCACGGAGGAAGCCATTGCTGTCCAAAAAGAATATTGCAGCACGTTTGAAGTTTGCAAAAGAGCACCTGGATGTTCCACAGCACTACTGGCAAAATATACTGTGGACAGATGAAACAAAGATTGAGTTGTTTGGGAAGAACACACAACACTATGTGTGGAGAAAAAAAGGCACAGCACACCCACATCAAAACCTCATCCCCACTGTAAAACATGGCGGAGGGAGCATCATGGTTTGGGGCTGCTTTGCTGCCTCAGGGCCTGGACGGATTGTTGTCATTGATGGGAAAATGAATTCCAGAGTTTATCAAGACATTTTGCAGGAAAACATACGACCATCTGTCCGCCAACTGAAGCTCCGCAGAGGATGGGTGATGCAACAGGACAATGACCCAAAAGCATACAAGTAATTCAACAAAACAATGGCTGCAACAGCACAGAATACGCCTTCTGGAGTGGCCCAGTCAGAGTCCTGACCTCAACCCGATTGAAATGCTGTGGCATGACCTTAAGAGAGCGATTCTGTCAGGGCTCCCGGGTATGACCAGAGGTGTGTGACTGACGCAGGGAAACGCAGACTTCAGATATGTTATAAACAATATGATTTATTAACACTAACAATACAAACATAAACGCAGTGCAATACTAAACATAATACAGTGCAAACAAACCCAACCAACCACCCACAGATTACAGTACATACAATGCAAGCGTCGTCAGGCAGGCCGGGTCAATATCAATCGGGCAGGTAGGTACAGGGGGAGCAAGCGGAGAATGGTCGGGGTCACAAGCCAGGGTCAGCAGGTAGCGGGCAGCGTGGTACAGAGGGTCAGGCAGAGGGATGGTCAGGAACGAGCCGGGGTCAGAGCAGGAGAAGTCAGCAGAGGTATAGATCAGGCCGGGTCAGCAACAAGACAGGAACAGGAATAGGAACAGGAACAGGAACAGAAACAGGAAGCAGAAACAGGATACAGGGCCCAGGAAAAACATACACCAAGGCAGAGTCTGCAGGTCTGGCCATCCCTTAAATACACCAGTATAATTAGTTCCAGGTGTTCGACTGGCTGCAAGGTTGAGTCTCTGATTGCTGGGAGCACCCGCTGGCCAGCCCTGGTACTGCAGCTCATAAGGCAGGTGAGTCCCACTATTGCTGGCCAGTCCATTCCTGACAGTACCCCCCCCTCAGGACACTCCAAACAGTCCTAGCTGGGCAAAATTTTCCACCGCCCGGGTCTGGTAACTGGCGGGATATCAAAGACTGGCACACCGGGCAGGGGCACACCGGGCAGAGGCACACCGGGCAGAGGCACACCGGGCAGAGGCACATCGGGCTGGACTCCGGGCAGAGGCACATCGGGCTGGACTCCGGGCAGAGGCACATCGGGCTGGACTCCGGGCAGAGGCACTCCGGGCAGCGGCACACCGGGCAGAGGCACTCCAGGCAGAGGCACATCGGGCTGGACTCCGGGCAGAGGCACAT